ATCCCTAGTTGCTCTATACTCCCTGAAATGATCATGGTGTCTGGTGGATCCCTAGTTGCTCTATACTCCCTGAAATGATCATGGTGTCTGGTGGATCCCTAGTTGCTCTATACTCCCTGAAATGATCATGGTGTCTGGTGGATCCCTAGTTGCTCTATACTCCATTTTTTTTTCCATTGCACAAGCCGAAAGAACGAAGTCTGGCTATGTTGCTCTATACTCCCTGAAATGATCATGGTGAAGCCCCGCCGGAAATCCAAGAATGGGACCCTGAACACATCTGAAAAACCACCCATGCCACGTGCACACATCCACTGATTTCAGGGAGTGTTTGAGAGTCCAGGACTCAGGACTCCATATGAGGGATGCCTTTAAAGAGGACACTCCATATGAGGCCTCTAAGCTATGAATGCTCCCCCAACAGGCAGGTCACCATCTCATCCAATGATCAGCTCAAGCATCTCTTCAAGGTGAAGGGCCTGCTCCAAATGTTTCGCGCGTTGTGGGGAAAACAAACAACATGATCAGCTACCTGGTGCTCTCGGACCGGAACAGGTGGGTCAGATGCGAGGGCAGTTGACCTTCAAGGCGCGGTTCTCGGGGGTTCTGGGTTCGAGCTGAGTTGATGAGGGAATTGCAGAGAAACACCTGGCTGTTCGGGTTCGAAGGAGGGAATTGCAGCAGAATTCGACATGAATTCGTTGGTGAATATACCAATCCTTAGGACATTATTTGGAGGTGGGAGTCACTTAGTGGTCCCAAGGAAAGCCCAGGGGTGCGAATGACACAGTGATTCAGTGATTCCTACTGACCCGACCACTTCGCCCATGGTTCAACATATGATTCATCTTCTATCTCATGGTTCGACGGTTAAATAATAACAATAAACCATCACATAAAACCAACAAAACGGAAAGCAACAACAACAACAACAACAACAACAACAACAACAACAACATCCCATACCAGCACCCGACTCTACAGGTCACCAATTGAGACCTGTTAGGGCCCAACAAGACCTGTAGAGTCGGGTGCTGGTATATACAGAGGTTTTCCACTCCATACCTGCAGGAGGTTTGTTTTCTTCATCCAACCGATCCACCTGGCCTTGACCACTTGACGACCCCCATCGACTCCAGGAGTTGGCGGACGCCACCCTGCAGGACGGGGCCCGGAGCAGCGCATGGAGGATGGGAGGATGGGAGGATGGGTCGTGTTCCCAGTAAACCGTGGATTGGCATCGCCCAAAAGGGTGTCGTTTTCCCGGGTTTCTGGATGAATCCCCCTAGCAATCCCCCGGATCGTCCTCGATTCTCTTTTCCCGGTGCCTGGCAGCCCACACATTCAAGGAAATACAGCGGCTGAAGAGTTGGTGCATGCGGTTTCAGCACTCGGAGGCCTCTTCTCCTGAGCCACATCTCCACCTTCGTTGCCATGGCGATTTCTCCTTTGGACCCTTCTTCAACTGCTCGGGGCGCAATTCCCATTCCTTCTCGCGTTCCGTGTTCCGCTCCGTGCCTCTCAGTTTGGGTCATTTCGTGCCTCTCCAGGACTTGCAGTCCCAGGGCTTCGAGCCCACCAGCCTGGCGCAGCGGATGTTGCGACTGGCGCCTTGGACGTGGGCGGCGCGAGAGGGCCTGGGAACTGACCAGTGTTTCTCCCCTCTTTGGGGTTGCCTAAGAAAATATAGCACGCACGGGCAACCATTGGCCCCTTTCTTTGCGGCCATGACGGGCAGCGATTCCAAATCATGCGTGCTTTCAGAATAGAATAACCAGGTCGAATGCAATGAAGTAGGTCCCGTTGCGGCAACAGCCCCTTGTATGTGGCATCAGCAAGGAAAGACACATTGGATGCCAGGTCCCTTGATACAGTTGACCATTTTCGAAGAACCGGTCTCAAAAAGGCCACAAAAAGCGCAAAAAGGCCTCGAACTGACCACACACAAACTTGCGGACTCGTCCATGTCACGCCCCTAACAGCCCTTCCACTTGGTGGGGTACTCTAGGGTATGTATTCACATGAGTACGGTTTATACAAAAACAATGCAATGTACAAAGTGTTCCATAGACCGGTAGAAGACACAGTCTGGTACACACGCGAATTAAATCACATGAAGAGCATCTAATTCACACGTTCCACGAGAGCAAACGAAGATCTGGTTTTAAGGCCTCAAACTGACCGAAAGAACCCTTCACGCCCGCTCTTCGGTCCTCGCGAGGTGCAAATCTTCTCCGTGGAGCCCACGAAACCGCTGGGCCTCCTCTCCGATGGCCAGCTCCGACGCTGCGACCGGTTTGGGCGGTTTCCGCGCGCTCGGTCCGCCGGCGCTTGTTTCCGCGGTCGTTGGAAATGCGGCGGACGTGCTTCATGCATCTTCATGCTGAGCTGAATGCTGCACAGGGAGGTGTGGTGGTTGGTTTCGGAGGTTTCTGAGCGGTTTGGCGGATGTGCTGCGTGGCACGGTGGGTTTCTGGGCAAAGAGTTCACCGCTCGAGCGGCATCAACGGGCCTTGGCCCACAACGAAACTTTCACACGGTGAGGCGTGTGAACCTTTTGACCGGGGGCCATTCGTTCACTGAAACGGTAAACTCACTAAGATGGACATAGAATGGAAGAGTCCTCCTACAAATCCCGTGGAAGATGTGGACAATTCAGGCTCCGACACTTTCTGGCCTTTGTTCCGTCACCAAAGAAACCACGGTTTCATTGAGTGGGAGCCTGCATCTTCGGTTTGAATCAATGAGACCTTTGCCACGGTCGGACAGATTCTCCCGCACTCAGTGTCTTATGTTGTAGTGGGTCTAAGCCTGTTTTGTATCCATTGCGTGCCATACCGGGTTCGGTATTATGGTGGTGTCGGTGCCTTCATTTTCCTCTTTTAGGGCTTGAGAACTTCAGAGCTTCCTTGTGTTTTCATGTTTTTTCCATTGCTGCCTCTGTTGGAGGGAAAATCCTCTCAGCAAGCCTCAAAGGGATCTCCCCGGACTTTGGTGGGTCCATACCCCGGCATGGACAAAGACGCACGTGTCATCCGAAACGTGTTCCACATGAGGACGTGTGCAGCTGGCAGTGAAGTTGGTCAAGCCTGCGCGGCTTTTGTTGATGGATGAAGCGACTCGGTGCCTGAGTCGAAGGAGACCTGCCCTCAGAACACAGAGGAGTCGAAGATTTGTAGAGTAGAAAGCACGGCAGAACTGCAGGAGGAACCATCAAGTGGACATGGATTTTGCAAAGGATCCAAGTAGGACTTCGGATGAGATCCTTTGATGGAAGGAACACCCAAATGATACCTATTTCAGTTAAGCATTCCTTTTTGCGGAAGGGACTCCAAGTTCTAGTCTTGAGAGGCCTGTCCCCCAAATCACGGTGAATATTGGCTCTGGCAACGCGGACCCTACCAGTCCAAGGGCCAAGTGAAACCTGGTCCTTAACCTCAGGGAATCATGTTTTTATTGGACCGGACCCGGTTTTGAACTGTGGGCCATTGATGTTAATGTTTTTCGAGTTAAAATAGGGAGACCCCCCTGGAAGAAGGACATGAGGTTTTGAGCTTCCCTAGGTGACTGCGGACTTGGATGTGCTTGCCCGCGAGGCCCTGCTGAGGCGCGCAGAAAAAAAAAGGGCTACGCTAGCTACCCTATAAGGCCCATACGATAGGCGGTCGGGATACGGCCTATGCCGAGACGGCCCCTACGAGAAAGGCGTAACGGATGGGGGTGCTCGACCTCTATAGGGACTTGTCAACACCCACTCCTAGAGGTGGTCAACCCGATCCGTTTGATTTGCCCTGGGAGTCAAAGACTATACAGTAAACAGAATGGTCTTTAGGTGACACGAAAAGGAATGTCCTTTACTTCAGTCAGTCAAAATAGAGTCGAACTGGACTTCAACAGGTCTAGTCAACCGGGTGCCGCTCCCTTTCGGAAGCTTCGCCCGGTGGCCGTTCGCGGAAGGCGACGAGGTGGTCGGTCCACCCGGTTGAATGACCCTTGAAACGGATGTTTGGATGCATTTTCTTTGTCATCCAATCTTCCATGTGGTGATCCCTGTAGGCCCTGTATAGGCAGATTGGTTATATATAATTCGTTTGGGCCCGGCCGTCCACATCAGTCTGCTTGCAGGTGGAAAAACACACCGTCCGCTTGTGGTTCTTCCCACCCAGCCACCCAGACGTGGTCGAAAAAACAACCACCGAACCGACACGAACAGGTTCTTGCGTGAGGAGAGCGAGGATGGATGCAGCGTGGTCTACTGCACGCACATCATGGATGGTCTGGCAGGACTGGCTGAGGAACTGTGGTCGTCTCCCACGCAGAACTGAGAGTCCTGAGAGTCATTCGTAAGGCCCATAAGTAAGAACAAGACCCCGACGTCCTACTCTTTTTTGACAGTCTTTCACATCACACACTTAATCCTACTTACTCTGTATACAGGTCTTTTTGACTGCACTTCCACTTCGAAGAAATGTCCGGGACACCTCAATCCAGCACCTTCCCCCTGCCAGGTCTCCGTTGCGAGGGTTGGGTGGGTGGGAAAGGCCCTATATAACAGGTTTCGACCGGTGAAGTCGGGTGCTGCTGGTTTTTACCTAGATCTTCCAACTGTGCAACATTTATACCTTTTAGTTGATTTAATGGATGAAAAGGCAGAAATGACCTGCACGTCGTTGGAAGATCCAGGTTTCAGTCGCTGCTGGTTGTTGCGAAGTGGTCCGGTCCGGTGTGCACGAAGAACCCCCCCGGGTCACCAGCTCGCTCCTCCCGGGGTCAGCTCCGCACCCTCTAAGCTCCCAGGATGGGCCACGCACTTCCTCCACTTGGGCGGCGCGAGCGGCGCGTCCGTGGAGCCGGCGGCGGAGGTCGAAGCGTCGGGCGCTTCGCTGAGTGGTGCGGTCTTGGCGCGCCTGCGCGCGGAGCGTGAGCGGCGGAGGTAGGGGGGGTTGGAGGAGTGAGTCTGCATCTTTTGGGAAGGCAAGTGCAGGTGGATCAGGCTTGTAGCCACTGCTGCAAGAATGCTTATCTCCTCGCGCAAAAAAACTTGAAGGCACATGCAGGCAGGTTATGGTTGCCATAGTTTTTGTCAGAGTTTTAAGTGCTGATTGCAGATGCCAAGATGCGTACGTATATCGTTTTTTTGACCACATTTTTCTTTGTTCATCTGTGGACGATGTCAAGATCCACCGCAGTTTGTAACGGGGAGTCGAAACCGATCTCCATTCACGTGCGGTTTGCCCAGACCGGTCTCCATGTGCTTCCACCGTCGCACCGGTCCGTGGTCGCCAGGGCCGAACCGCCGGAGCGTGCCGCGGGTCGCCCGGAGCGTGTGGCCCACGCTGCGGATTTCGGTGATGCACTGCCGCTGGGGTGGCACCGACGACATGCGGAGGCCGAAGAAGCGGAAGTGGGGGAGGGGGAAGCCATGATTTACGGCGTGGAGGCCAGTGAATGAAAAGCATGAAACCCTAGACTTCCGTTCGACCATTCAAAAAATGGTTGACCTGGTTTTTGTAGTGTAAGATCCTTAGTTGATTCGGTATGACCCGCATTGAATTCATGGTGGTTGGAAGCCTAGGGACAGCTGCTTTGAAGAGTGAGCAGTTGCTGAACTGTTGAGTGATACGATCGGCTCCGGGTCCCATGTTGAAGTAGGTGGTTGCGTGGCCTTCTTCTACGAGCAATGCCAAGGAGACAGCTCCTTCACAGTGGGTCAAGCTATTCTTCCAAAAACAGATGCTGAGAAGGTCCTGAAAGCACAAACCTGAATCTTCCCACATAGTGGTTCGCCTGCAACCTCTCTGTTTTCTTGGCAATTGATAGCTGCTTAGTAGTGTGCTAGCGAGTTCAAAGATGAGCCAGTTTGGGTGCCACTACAAAAGGATTATAGATGAGCCGCACTGATATACCCTAAACCCTCCTTGAGATCCGGATTGGCCCCGCCTCTCTTCCGCTCATGCTGAATGAGAAGGCGCTTACACCCGATCCTTCTCCATCTTCCCCCATCTTCCCCCCTCTTCCCCCATCGCTTTCGGCTCGGTTACGACCGGTCCGAAGCTCGCCGCGAACGAGGGCGCCTACGGGAACTACGCCTGGAACGTGGAAGCGAAGCCGCAGGCCGGGCTCGTTCGGAGTGCTTCAGTGCGGTGGAGCGCAGCGCGCGCGCGCGGAGGTGACCGGCGCCGTGGTGATTTGAGGGTTGCAAGAGGCGAGGCTCTGAGGCTCTTGGGTTGGTTTCGAGGCTCTTCATGGTCCTAAGACAGGCCCTTTGAGTTTTGCTTGGGTTTTTTCCTATGTTTTTCTCAATGTGCTTTGTGTCATATTGTGTCATGGACATGGGCCTTTGATCATCGTGTTATTGCAGGTATGTTCAAGACGAAAAGAATGCCAATCTACGCACCAAGCGCTCTCCCAAAATAGCAATCTGAGTTGCGTTTCCTCCTCATAAAGACTCTTAATCCATTAAAGCCACCATTTTGGATTGTGTCTCAAAACCTCTTCATTTGGTTTATCCAAGAGGTCTATCCAAAAAGCAGCCGTTCCCACTCGGCCAGGAGGAATGGTCCTTCCAATCCGTCGCCCCGGAGCCTTCCAACGAACGCCCGGCTGCGCCGCTTCCGGACGCGGCGCCCGCGCCCGCCGCGCCGGCGGCCGCGGGGCTGGGCTACTCGGCAGCGCCGGTAGCAGACAGCGCACCCTGGGGCGGATCACGGATGAATCAGAGACTTGGAGTCGTTTTGGGAGGTCGTTTTCGGAGGTTTTTTTCTCAGAACGGCCGGAGTCGTTTGGAGTTTGGGGGTGGAATGAAGATGCTGGGGCAAGGCATCTGGCACCAATTTCAGGGATTACTGGCCGACCATTGGTGTAATGATCTTGACCAGAATATCTCCTTCAGTTAAACATAGTTCAACGATGTTGAGACGATTCAAACCAGGTCAACCATTTCTTTGTCCATGGTCCTGAAGGCATGAAGGGCCGGACATGCATGCCTCCCCGATCGCATGACTCTTCGGGGGACGCCCTGGGACGCCCCCCTGCGGTGACCTGGCGGTGCCTGCCTTTCGGGTCTCACAGATTGAGGATGAGCGCGGAGGAGTTGGTGAGGCTCGGCATCATCCCACCAGAGAAGTGAAGGGAAGTGAGGCTCCGCTGCTCAAGCGAGCCAGTACAGGGGCACCAACCAAAAGCGCATGGGCAGAAGAGTTTGTTTTTTGGGGCGGTTGGTGGCTCTGTTTGGTTGCCAAATGGATGGATACAACTTTCTAATTAAACTTTGTAGAGATGAGATTGACAGTGATGTACTTTGCTGAGTGTATTTGGGGTTCGTACTGAACAAAGTAGAGGTATAAAGTATAAAGCTGCCTTTTGCGACTCAGTGCACGATGGACTTACATAGATTGGAACGATCATTGCGAACGTAGGGGGCCGTAGGCGGGGCCGTAGGCGGGGCCGTAGGGGCCCAGAGTCTTGGCGCGAGGGCTGTGTGCTTGGCGACCTGAGTGGTGTGCCCGTCGGGGCTGTGTGCCCCCTTAGACCTCCTACAGCTCGAGCGTCCAGACCGAGCTGCTGCGCTGCCAGAGAGAAGAGGAAGACGGCCCACCGTGTGCTGAACGAGCAATGTGGGCAGATCCGGTTGGTTTGTAGAAGCAAGATTTGCACCTTTATAACCTGGTGGATAAGACTTTCTGCCTAGTCAGATGGATTTCTTGAAGGCGATCGGATTCTCTGTTGGTGGAAGCTTGATTATCAACTGTTAGGGTCATCTAAAAGCGTTCGAGTCTGACCATTTTCTTCATGTTTCATTGAGATATATACTTTCCACCACTTTCTGACATCGCAATCCGCAGACAGGCTTGGAAGGTGACAACTTTCTTCAACAGGTGCTAGATGCGCAATATGCACGCACATGCTGCAAACTGTTTTCTGATTCTTGCAAGGTTGAAAGTTTCAGGTCGTAGGGTTTCTATTGTTGATGGTTTGCTGGGTCTCTGCACATGTGCTGCTATTGTAGGGATGAGAAGTGTGCTGCTATTGTAGGGATGAGAAGCTAAGCCCGAACATCATGGTCAATCGCAGGGCATTCCGAGCATTCCGGATATTTCCCGCAAACATGTCATGCATGGATTTCCGGCTAGGCTGTCACATTGCGCCGATTTCAGAACCAGAAACTACGGTTACTTTGATGAGGAGTTGCCAAAGGACAACTAGGGGGTAGGCTTCATAATCGTTGAACAGGTTTGTTCTATGTCCATAATGCATTTTTATAGTCCCAAAGTGGTCTCACCATCCATGTACAGTAGCATGGCTCTCCTCACGTTCTCCAGCCTTCAAAGGATCATAAAAGTATATAAAAGCTTGTTTTCCCCTTTCTTGGAGACCGCTCATGTGTGCCGGCTCTTGGGGGGTCTTGGATTCCATGGACCACTGGACCACGTTCCCTTTCAAGCTTGGAACGCCTCGCCTCTGCTTCTTCGATTCTGCTGGGCCGGAGCTGTTTTAGAGCTGCTCACCTCCATCGCCGAGCGCGTCGCGCGCGGTCGCGATGTCCTTCCACGAGCTGCGCGCCGCGTGCGACGAGGGCCGCCGACGGGTGACGTTCGAAGTGGAGCACAGCGAAGAACATGGCAGGGTCTTCCTGTTCGGTGGCGATTTGTCTGAGAAGAGGAAGATGGGGGGTGGAAGATGGGAGGTGGAGAGGGAGGTCGGAGTTTGTGTGCTGCTTGTATATGCTATCCATGTGGTTGGTACGAGGTGATGGGAAGGGGGTGGCTTTGCGGTTTGCAAATGTTGGCAAGTAATGCTGACTTATTTGATGCCTTGCTGTCTCTGTTTGATATAGAGCAATGATCCGTGGAGGAGTTTCTCTCCTATTTTTGTCCCAGTCTCCCCTTGGACTCAAATTCTTGAAGTGCAATGTTAAATGGGACACTCAGTCAAAGAATTGGGATGCTGGGGATAGTGGATAGTGTTTCTATCGATGTAGTTTTTCTTGACATCTTTCGATGTCAACCCCACACCCCTGGAAATCAAGTCCGGCGCTGCAAAAGCCGTTGAAGAAGGGGATGTTGGGGATCGACCCTGAGACACGAATGAGACTGGCACCATCTACCTACCTTGGGGTGGTTGAAGAGGAATCCATCTACAGGTCTATTGTTCCATCACGTTTACCTTGAAATAGTGCGGGTATTTTTCTATGGTAGAACTGGGAGCCGAGGTGAATTGAGATCTTTCAGATGATTCGAGTCCCACGCAGTTCTTGGGAGCCAACGTGAACCAACGTGAATCAGTGGTTTCACTGCAGGGCCCCTTGGCACGTCTGGTGCCCCCAACGATGTCGGTTGATGTCAGTATGAACCTCCCTATCTAAAGCGCATCTTAGGGTGCCAGTGCCATTTCTCACCTCTGAAACCACATGAAACCACCTGTATTGTATTCTTTTAAGGATGTCCCTGAGCCTGAAGACCTCCCTGATGCCCTCCCCCCCGCTGCACTCGGCCTGTCTACGCGTCTCCCATGGCTCCGATCCACACGCGGCCTCCGTGCGGCCGGGCCGGGGCCCATTCGATCCGCGCGGAGCCCAGCGAGGCTGCCGGTCCCTGGGCTTGTGGGACCCTCAAGAGGCCCAGGAGCTCACGAGGAACGCGACGTGCGCTGGGCGATGGGAGTTGGAGCCTTGGAGCGATGGGAGATGGAGAGGTTGAGTGACCTGCCTATTTTGGACCCGTCACTTGGAGTCCCCAAAAAGGATTCTCTAGTTCGGGTTCTTCAACCTCTGCCGGCAATGCGGAAAAAAGGGATATCACTTCCGAGGAAGGCTGTTGGGAGATATTGGGAGTGGGTGGTGTTTGACAATGGCGCAGCTCACCAAACGTCAAAGAAGCATCGCCCATCCGGAGGACCCCAAGCGATCGGACGAGGTGGTTTCATGTGTCCCCAGGAGAGCGAGAGCTACTGGGGTTCTTACTTCAAGTTGATTCAAGTGTAGGAAGAAGCGTCTCTGTGTGCTTTGGAGTTTGGATGATGTTTGTTTTGTTGGGCTCTTTTGGCTTTTGTGCACAGGGACTCCAAGAGCAGTGTCACAAGGAGCTTTGGCATGCCCCTGGTTTTGCGGATCAGGTGATGTTGTTCTTTTTCGAACTGGGTCAATCCCCATACCTGGCGACGATTTAAAGATGCTTTCCAGGTTTGTCAAACAAATCCAAGATGCTGCAGCCCTTTTTGAGCTTTCGACCTTCCCTTTGTGAAGTTCCCACTCCCATCGACCGTCCACCCGAACCGTCCACCGGAACCATCGAACCGACCCGAGGACCTGGTCTTTCGTCCCGACGAGATGGGGAGGAGCATCGAGTATCGCTACTTCGTGGCGCACCGCTGCACCTCACAACGAGGCGAGAGCGCCCTCCGGAGCACCGAGGGGGCGGTGGATCTCTTGGAGCGGTGGACCCTTGGACCGTTCCGTCTGATGATTTGGGTGACTAAAGTAGAGGAAAGGGCACATGATTTGACTCAACATATATCTGATTTTGTTTATAAGAAGTCGGATTCGGATGTGTGGTCAGCTTCAAGACAAGCTGGTCGACCAGATATGTTGATCCTTTACTTTTTTCCTGACTCTTGGACACTTTTGGATCATTGCTTGTTCGGTGGCGAATTTCAGCCGGCTCCTCCGGCTCATCTCAAGGAACACTAGTTACCGCACCATGCGAATCGCATGAATTTTGTGAATCATCTCAAGTGTGGCAGGTCCGACGACATGAAGACGGACACCGATAGCTTGGGGGGAAGACTTCCATTGGACATGAAGACTTATTGACATGGTGATGTGGTGTGTGTGTGGAGTGCTATAAGCTTGTCTAAGCACCTGTTCACTGGGAAGATGACCTGAACACCTGGCCGAAGCTGAAGCCCTTGGATTGACCTGAAGCTAGGCGAACCCTTCGTGGCCTCAGAGGACCTGATCTTCGACACGATACGCACCTTGCGGTTGACCCAAAGCCATGAGGATCATGAGGCACGGCCGCATGGGGCGTCTTACGTCGTACGCCGTGGACCTTGGTTGAATGACTTGTTTGAGTGATGGGCGTCTTACGTCGTCCTACGAGGAGGCGTTGTTGAAGATGTTGGGACACTGCCTTTCAGTGCGGGTACAAATAAGGAAACGTGAGAGCGGCATGGTTCAGGGTTTTGAAGGGCCAGAGCCTCTTTACAGTTTTGTTCGGTTTTGTTGGTGTTCACATATTGGAAAACATATCAAATTCCTTCTTGACACCTTCATTGGAGCAAACAAATGACGTTGCATGAGCCAGCTATGGAGCATGGTCTGTACCCAGATAGGTGGTTGGCCCCAGTGGTTGGCCTATCCGTGGCTTGGTGTTATCCACCAAAAAAGGGATCATGACCAAAACTTGGGCCGATAGGTCAACTTTCAATTGCTAAACGGTCCCAAAAGCAGTATTTGTCTAGAGCCCGAGTGACCTCTGGACCACCAACCACGCAAAGATAAGGTCAAACTTCCTAACAAAACAGATATCAAAATTGCTCTTCCTGGTTCTTCAAAGTGACCTTTTGATATCCTAATTTGAGGTCACTTAAGCCTCCCAAGGGTCACTTAAATAGGAACCCTTAAAATAGGTCACTTTGAAGAAGCTGGTTTATTGGCTTCGCTTCCAACTTTGTCCGAGGAACCACCACAAGGATCCGTGGAACTCCGAACCAAACCCACCTGCGCCCAAGCGTGACGTCACGCTCAGCTCCTCAGCGAGGTCTCGGTCGAGGAAACTGCCTGGGCGTTGGTACCGCAAGGTGATCTGCAAGAGGAGATGGCCTCTCTTCGCACGAAGCTGGAGCAGATGTCCAGACACTTGGGAATGAAATCTGCTCTTGGACATGTGGAAAGGAATGAACCGATGCTTTGGGGATTTCTTTTTTGGAGAAGTAATGCTCGTGACATGCTGCTCTCGTGGCATTTCAAGGAACCCCTTCCATGAGGACATCTCTGATTCGAAAATATTGGAACCACCCAACAGGGGTACGAGGTTATATACTATACTATACTATACTATACCAACAGGTGATTCAAGAAAATCACCAAGAGCCTCCGTAGTGCTTCCTGCCCCAGACCTGGCAAGGACACCAGGCCGACGTGCGTGATCTTCGGAGCAATCTGCAGCAGCTCACGGAGAAGCATGAGAGGTGGGGATGGGACACATCTTATGGTGATTTTGAGAGTAGATGACACCTGGCCCCAAGATGTGCTTGAGATGGGGAATCCATCATAACATCAACCGACATCATTGGGGGGCCCAGAGCCATGTACTCTCCAAATCGCCACCAAGGTGGCGGCGGATGACCAAGCAAGAGACGGTTCAGAAAAATCACGATTTGGTCTGTGATCCAAAATGACCACTTAAGAACTTTGAAATGTCAAACATGTTGTTCCAGGAAACTGCTAGGCTAGCTATATATTAATATATATTTCACACATCATATTGGAATCCTAGGGTGAACACTCAACAGCTGGGGGATTCACACGATTTCCCTTGCAGATGTCCCAAACCAGTTGTTATTTCACCAGCTGCATGTAAGTTAAGTTTGCCCGGGCCGTAGGTCGTACTGTCGCCCCCCAATGGGTGGAGGTCCAACCCTCAGGTCGGCCACCTAAGAAGTGTCTACGTACCCCCTGATGCAGCAGACCTGCGATCGTCCCTCACCACGTCAACGACCGGATCCAGCCATTCTCGGGGTACCCCGCGGGGGGCCGACACTGGACGACCCGGATCAATGCGACCTCCCAGGGCCACACGGACCCGGTCGACGAACGAACACCCGGAAACGGGTTGGGACGAGGGGAGGCAAGGACCAGGAGGGTTGGAGGGTTGGCCCTTCACGGAGGGAGAGTTGCGTCTTGGGTGGGGTAAAGGCATCCAGGTGTAGAAGGGTGGATCGATTCCATTTGATGATCACCACGGACAACTGCACTATGACAATACCTTCCCAAGGCGTTCATTTTCGTGTGATTCGTGATCAGGAATCTGCAAAGTTGGGCGAGTGGTAGGAAGAATGTGCATTGATTGCCAGAGTCTTTTTCTAGTTTTGTTCGTTCTTGTTTTGTCTATGTCCTACTACTTTCCTCAGAAGCTTGGTTCAAACACCTTCACAGCTAGGGTTGCTCGACATGATGCCAGGTTAGCTCAAGAGCACCAGAAACTCACTGCTGAGAAGGAGGAAGTTGCCCAGCAGAAGCAGCGACTTCAAGAAGCGCAGATGGAGCTGAAGAATGCCCCTCTACACTGTTTCAACGAACACTTGGGCATCCACGGAAATCCACGAAATCCCACCCTCTCCGCGAAGCAACCCCCGATGGGGACAGATATACCCATATGTACATTTTTTTCCATTTCCATGAACGCTCCGTGCCCTGTTCGAGCTCAGCGTCTTGCCGATATGAATTCTCTAATTTCATGCATGAAAGTAGTCAGGACCAGGTTCGCGAAGCTTTTGGTCTTCATATTCTAAGACCAAGCTTCGGAGCCACTTTGTGGACTCCGCGAATACCAAGGTCCTGTTAGGCTGATGGTCCATCCAAAGTCTGAAAAGGTTGGCACCGAAGGAACAAAATTCTGGTGGGTATTCCTTGAGGTGGTTCGTACGCCATTTACCTTCACTCAGACCGATGTTGGAGCCTTTCGAACACTTAGCACTACGCATTGAGCGTTCACAGTGTTGTACGCTGGCGAGCTCAACCCCAGACAACATTAAGGTGGTGGGTTTTGGACTGTCCGCTCCAAAATATCCCTGCAACACATCAAGAAACACAAAAAGCTGAGTCTCTTTGAACCACCGGATGATTTGGGTCATCCAAATGGAAGGAGCTTTCTTGTGTCGCGTTCCACCTGTGTGTGGATTCCGGGGGTGCTCTAGCCAGGAAAATCCGCCTGTAAGTGCTTGTAAAAGAACTGCTTTGAGGCAAAAGAGCATTAAAACATTTCCTATAGAGACCTGTTGGCCTTCACGTTTGGACAGGCCGGCCATGCCCCACAAATGTGGGTCGCATCTCACTGGACGAGGTCCTCGGCGTAGTGCTGCTGGCAGGCTCTCCCACCTAGCAATACTCCAGGATTCACAGGGCGGCCCACCATACAGTCCTGCAACGAATCCTCCTCGTATCAGGTCATACCATAGCTTCTGTTGCTGCTCTTGGGATAAGTCACATCGGGCCGGGTCGATGGCGACATCGACAGAGACTACTGTCATCACTACACCCGGCGGCAGTGGCTGTCGTTCAAGTTCCATTTGAATGTCGCGTTCTCTCCTGCGTCCACTGAAAAGATGGAGGATAATCAGCTCAGCAGGCAGAAAGCTACGAACTTTAGGATCTGCAGGTCGGCATCTAATGTGCCTTCGGCTATCCTCATCTACAAACGGACTGTTGTCTTCGCCAGCCTGAGACAGAAGGGCGGTTTGTCCAAGGCTAGTCAGCCAGCTTTGAACTGCGCATCCAGCTTGATAGATCCTCCCATCTGTCAATTCAAACTCTTTCACCCATGTATGAAGACTAGCACACAGTGTCGTAAAAGGCACTGCAACTCTACATGCTTCTTTCAGGGTGTAGATCAGTTGGTCAACAAAGTCATCTTCCCGTTCTGGGCATAAAAATGTTTGAATAGCCTCTTGTAGAAGAGCTCTAACCTTCTCTTCGTCCCGGTTAGGGTGGCTTGGTCCATCAAAGGCATCCTTCCGAAGTCGATACCATGGAAACTGTGGATGTCTGGACCGTGGGTTCTCAGAAACAGGGAGGACCTCTCTATTCTGCTCAAAGAAGGCTCTGCATGAGGCACTATATCGAAGATGATGTCGCAAGCGCTCCTGTGTCAAATAAACCTTTGCACAGCAGTGACATGTTTGTCCTTGAGCTGCCTCACTTGATTCACTAACATAGTTATGCTTCTGAGAAGCATGTAGGAACCATCCTTGTGGGGCTGAGAAAGCCTTTTCACAGATCACACAAAAATGTTGTCCATGACGTGATTGCGTAGAGGAAGCAGTAAGTCCCTTGCTCTCCAGAATCTCGTGGATACGCTTGTGCGCTTTGACTGTGGCAGCATTTCTAAGTCGTGCTTGCGTTGCTCTGAACGGAGCTGTGCGACCATATCTTGCCCATTGAGCTGGCTGTGCTGCCAGACTCCTCCAAGCCTCACCGTCCGAAACTTCACGAATTGGAGAGTCTCGGTCAACTAGTGCATATGCCCATTTCAATGCGTCCTGATATATGCATATGGCACCAGAATCGTCTGCAACCAGCGACCATAGGATATCAGGTGCAGTGCGCAGGAGTGCACCAAAATACCGAAATCGTGCAATCTGTAGCAGATCTTCCGGGTCTTCACAGCCCAAGTAACATCTGATGTCATCACGTGAAGGAGCAGTGAAAGTCCTTGGCATCATCAACGCATACAGGTTCCAGAGCGAAGTATTCCATGTCTTTCCTTCACGATGATTCAGCTCTGTCCATGCCCCTGATCCCCATGTCATGATGGACATCACCGTGGAGCGGAAGATGACCATTCTCGTTTCCAGAGGGACCTTATGCTGCCTAAAAACATGCTTGGCCGCCCTCCAGAAAGCGGATCTAGCCTTTGAAAAACGGGTGCGAATCTCCGGAAGTAAACTTCCAGTGGCATCAATGAGGCCTCCTAAATGACGATATTTAGGAACCAGTGGGAGTTGAACACATCCGTCTTCCAGCAAAACTGGGAAAGTCGCATTCGTGTTAGCAAAAAGTCTTCGTCGAATGGAGACGGCACCTGGTCCCCTTGGCGACACTACTGCTGCCGTTTTCGTTTCACCAATGGACACCTTCATGCCGTACTTTTGAAGCTTCTGGAGCAATATGTGTGCAATCAACGCAAGACGGCTTTCGATTTGGTTTACATGTTCGAACTCTACAAGAACAGCTAAGTCATCTGCCCATGTTACTTGAAACATGGGAAGTACCTGCTCTGTGACCGGACTGAAATATGGGTCCCTCTTCTGGCGAAGTGACACATGCAGCAGGAGTCCTTGTGCTTTGAGCTCTTGCTGAACTTCCATGAGCACTTGCGAGAAAACCAAATTGAAAACTATGTCAGCTAACGAGTCACCCGGCCGGGTTCCTCTGAATGTTTGGACAAATTCACGACCTGTATATGTGAAATATGTGCCTTCTAATGTTTCTTGCAACACCTGGTGTTGCACAGGTCCGGCTCCGAGTTCCTGATATGCACAGTTTCTAGTCATGCAATCATGTATGAGACACATCGACTCGGGACCTAAGCCCATCCTATGCAAAACCAGTGCAAGATCATCATCGGTCAAAGTTGCCCCTGTCGCAATCTGCCGCAACACACGATAATAGGCCGATTGGACATCGCAGAAAAGGATTGCTGTGCTCCTGTGCCGACGTTTCCCTCGTTCTACAAAAAGGCGAGAGACATGGGTCCCAAAAAGGACTTGCTGCAAAGGTTTTCCACCGAGTTGGAGGTCATCGGTGGCCGCGAGATAGGGCTCATTAAGCCGATCCCTGATAGTCGACCTAGCAGCTTTTCCAAGCACAGATGTCAAGAGAATCCCTCTGTGATTCTGACAGTCCGATTGTGACCCTTTACCCTTAAAAAGGGAAATAATTTGTCCTCCTTTCCATTGCAATGGCTCTTCTAACCTAAAGATCATCTTTAGAATTATTGGAAAGAGCACACCTGCTGTCTCTCCTGGACATGCCTTCAATAGTTCATTGGGCAGTCTATCGGGCCCGGGGGCTTTCCGGTACCTCATTTTGCGTATGGCCTTCTCAAGATCGAGGCGACTTGGCAAATCATCTAGGGTGTACTTACCCGGTTTGCATCTGTCTTGCTGTTTCTGCAACACATTGGACATGTAGTCAGAGATCTGTACTTCCCTACCAGCTTCTAGTTGGGAAAAATGCCTGACCCATCTAGCATTGACTTCGTCCAGTGACTGCAGAATCTGGCCTTCCTCATCTTGTAAGACAGGCAATGGCTGTGGCAAAACTTTCTGTTTCTTCGCTGGCTGAAGAATTGGTCGCAAAGCAGCAAAAACCTCGCTTGGTTTGGCATTTCTTGCATTCTCCGCAACTCCAAGCAAAAATTGCTTACGATCATCTCTCAACTGCCGGCGAAAGTGGAGTGAAGCAGATTTCAAGTCCCGCGCGTGTCGCGCTGTTGCATGGGAAAGCAGTTGGTTCCAGGAGCTATCAAAGGCACTGATTCCTTTGCCTTTCCTCCATGCATTCCATGCTCGAAACGTGACAGCACACAGGGAAAAGTCGTCATGTTTCTTCAGGTTCCTAAGTGTTCGACGAAGGCATGTGACTTTTCGATGCAGTTCTCGGCTCTGATCGGAAATATGCTCTCTATATTTCTTGCCCCACTTCTTTGGGAAGTATCTGATAGCCTCCCTTTGAAGATGGTCCGTGATCAAGGCAGCATGCTGTGAGGCATTCATTCCCCAATCTGGTTCAGGGCATGATGCCCAAATGGCACGAACTATGTCTTGATTCTTTGGATCTCTCACTGCGACTTCGTCAATTCTTTTCTCTTTGCGTTTTGGTCTAGCAATCTGATTCCAAGAAATGTCGACACATGTACACTCATGGTCCAGTCCTGCGTGTCCCGCATGAATGTCCTCATCCACCCATGCCTGAATGCGTGCCCATCTCCAAGATAATGGCAACAGTACGTAGTCTATTCGGGATTTCTTCCCGGTGGCACTGTGTGTCCAAGTCTCAGGCGGGCCGCACTGGATCTCTTCAAAAGTGGATGGCACAAAAAGACCATTCTGATTCACAAAAGCATCAAAGAAAAACGTATTTTTATTCGTCTGGTCCTGTGAAAGACCGCCAAAGCTTTGTGTGACTTCCTTGGGTGCCGTAGCGTTGGCATCAATCAGCACAACACATTCAAGGGAGCCCACAATGTTGGTCATTTTCCCTTGGAGACACTGCCACCATTGTTGTCGCTCTACATGATCGGCGGCAGTATGGGGAGCATGTGCCACTACAAGACAGAAATGACCGAGCTGCCCTTGGTGTTTGACGATCAGGATTCTGGGATCAGCGAAAACAACCAAGAACTCTCCTGGATGGAAAGTAGCTCCATCAGTGATACTCGAGGTCCGGCTGACCCAGAGTTCAACTCCATAATGTCCTCCATCCGTTTTTCCGCTGCAGAAACGAATATACGAATGGGAGACATGCATACCCGAAGGTGTACGTGCTTCTTGAATACCAACAAAATGTATGCCTCTGACTTCAAATTGATCTCGCAGAAGTTGAACTCGACCTTGATCAGCATAGAGTGTTTGTCTTCCACGGTCATCAAGTAGTGACAGAGCATTATACGAAGCAAACTGTAAATAACAAGTCTTGCTCACACATTGTTGATCATGGTCTGCTCCGGGCATGAGTTGTTGACTCAACAGATCTTTTGGGAAAGCTGTTTCACTTGTTGATGACCAATGAAGACATCCCTGTTGTCTCATTGGAAAAGCAGGTGAAGTTGTCAGCAGTAGCCAAAGATTGTCAAGATGGCCGAGCTTCCCGACCAATTGCAGGAGCAAACCATTGTCAGGACAAGTCGGGCACTTCTTATGGGCCTGTTTCGCAAGAACATCTGCTATTTCATTATAAAGGTGTCCTTTATGGGCCGGAACATGCAAGTGACCAACATCTTCAACCATCATCTGCTGAAGAGCAAGTTGCAAGCCTCGCAGCAATCGTCCTAAGGCCGTTGACATCCCATATAATCCTTCAGCTTGTCGTCCTGCGACTTGTGAGTCCCAGAGGAAGACTATTGGTGTGCACACTTTGGCCGCTCGCCAATATCGAAGTAGCCACCAAGTAGCCCAGATTAGTGCATGCTGCTCTGCACATACTGCGGACGCATGTGTGTCCAACAATTGTTCCTCGTGTCCAGTCAAAGGAATGGAACCAGAACGATATCCAACAAAAGAGTTTGTCCCTTCTGCACAGGCTACCAGGACAAAACTCCACGTAGCAGATCCATCAGAAAATGATCCATCCGTGTAAATGCGAACAGATTCAAAGTTCAATGGATTCCACTTGTCTGGCGCACACTTAGGTGCTTCCGCGAACATTTGCTGGAGCGATGGATCCAAATCGTTCAGGTCAAAGACCGTCTCCAGCTGCTCTTCCACAGGGTCAAAATCCAGCAAAAACTCAATCTCTGAGTCTGAGAGCCCAAGTGAAAGTTCCAACCTGTGACTATTGCCTCCAGCCAGGGCTTCGCTAATGCTTATCACTCTCGGCAATGCTCTGGATCTGGCTGGTGTAGGGATTGGCCTCCTCGGTTTGTCATAGACAAAGTCAACGACATGATCACCATCGTGACAATGTATCAAATCATCCATGGCATCCATGCATTTGGAATCCCAATACACACCATTACCTGGAGGCGGAAGTCCGGATGCAGGCGCGCGATGCCATGTTTTGAGTTGGAGGTATATGGATTCCTCGGCATCTGATATTTCCGCATCTGTGAAGTGGGAACTGTGAGCCGCTTCTGAATCACACAGAGTGGAGTGCTCATCATCGCTCTCCGTATATTCCAGCAGTTGAAGATAGTCCCCTTCTTGCACAGTAAGGGATTCATCCCATTCATGCCAATGTCCTTCCCTCCAGACAAAACAATCGGCCACTGTTCGACAGCGGTGAAATTGCATCACTTGGTCGAAAACCTCATTTGTCGTCAAAACCTGTGGATCCCTCAACAAGAAACCGCCTTGAATTTCATAGTCCATGGCCTCTAAGTCAATGAAAACTGGCCTGTATACCGGACTGACATAATCAAGCACTAGGAATGCAGGCGAATGAATTCCAGCTTGCTGGACATGTGGTGAAATAGGCACAATGAATGGAGAATCGACCTCACAAAGGTCCCTCCATGTCTGGACAACATGATTTATGAAGTTCTGGTTTGTACGTAGGGTGATCACCCGAGACTCTTCTTGTACCAGCTCCCTACGATCCCATCTTATCATCCAGGTATGTACTTCCGGATCAGAAAGAGACTCAGAGGAGAACAGTTGCATCAAAGTATGTTCATCCCCCTCATGGTTTTCTTGTTCAGGGATGGAAACATCAGTATGTCTAGCAGTTCTGCTTGAAGTTGTGTGGCTCGTGGCAAGACTGGTCAAAGAAGGGAGCAATGATTCAACTATTGATTCTGTTGTCCCATCCCCTTCAAGATAAGCTAAGGAGCCGACTGCAATCGTGACCCATTGACCTGGACTGAAGGGTACTAGGTCATTAGGCTCTGCTATTTCACCTACCAACATGGCATGATAGCACTGTGTGGAGGGAACGACTGGCGGAAGTCTTGACCTCCACAGCAGGCTGTTGATCGTGACGGCTTGCTGAACCACATGTATTTCTCTCCAGGAATCTTGGCCATCATTGATCTCCAAGAGAATAGGCATATCTCTCCCAAAGGCTCTTGGAAGAAGGACCGCAATACGCAAATCAACAAAAGGTGCAGGCATCAATGGAAAGATTCTTGCATGTACATTCCATAACGCAGCCAGCTCCCTTCGGATCCAATGCGTAAAATCAGTTCCCCTTCTAAGAATAGTGGCAGTCAAAGAAATCCTGTAGGTGGAGACTTCCCCATCATTATGCTCAAACACATAAAGGATGATTGATGCATCAGTTCCTAGCAACTCTAGGAGCCATTCCCGGAGTTCCTCGACTTGCTGAGCTTGGTTGGCAAAATGGGGTGCTATATCTGTGGAGCCTCGGGAACCATAGCCATTGCAAAGACTCTCCGTGTCATCCCTCTGTGTCGAGAGAGTGTCTGGCAGGTCGCTCCCATTTCGAATGGTCTGCCCTTGTTGCATGAGGGACATCACATCTGCTTCCAGGTTATCATCTGGTGCTCCTTCTAAGCCTTGTCGAAACATCACATGCGAGCCCATAATATGATAACGTTGGTCAGAAACGTCGCACTGCAGCATTTTTATATCCAGATTCAGTTTCATGCCCTGGAAAGGCTGCCATGCCACAAGAGTAGGCATCTCCAACAACCCGTGTCGTAGCAGACATTCAAAACGAGGATCTCTGCAGACTCCTTCCATGCGAAGGTCACGTATAAGATCCTTGCTCCACACATATTGCGGAACTGACAAAGCATGAGTTTCGGGATTATCCTCCAATTCAAAAGTCGTGATCACACAAATCATGACACGGAGTGGTGCATAGGAGCGTTCCACCATGATAAATATGTGATCTTCACCTCCTTGTTCATAGGGAGTTGGGATCTCATGCACAAATGCTATAGCTGAAAACTCCTGTCGGTCAATAACCGTATCAAGAAAGATGCGCACGGCCACGACAAAATCCTCCCTACTCCAGCTCGGCCCCTGGAATTGGAACACAGATTCTGCTAGCCTACCGTCGACAAAGAGAATCTCGAAGGTTGGGAAATACCCAAACGCATCATAGTATGCCATCACCTCTGAATTGAGCCGTTCAAAGCCAAAAACAGATGTATGGAATGAGAGGAGATTCACCAACTCATCCCATTCCTCGTCAGTTTCAGTCCAGGTATCCTCCACAGGATCTGGCAATCGATCAACTTGATACACTCTCGTGGCGGCATAGTTCTGAAACAGGGAATGATCCTCTGCTTCCACTTGTTGCCATGCGTTGCCCGGAGTTGCAGTGTTTTCTCCAGTGATCCAGTTTGCCCCTGGAATATCTCCATACGAGACTGGATCAATCTGCTCCCACGGAGTTGCAGTGTTCTCTCCGGAAAAGACTTACCCATATGTACCCCCCAAAATAAAACGATCACACCGAAAAGCATGCGACCAGCCAGTAGCATGACCAGTTTCATTTGATTTTCTCCCCAAACTTGATTCGTTTCAGTGGTGTCTCTTTGTAGTTTGAACTGCGCACCCTGGGTGGGGGTCAAGAAACAGAACCGAAGTCCGGGAATACTGATCAGGATTACTTCACTGTTGGTGGACTTCGCTGATTCGTTTGTTCTTGTCTTTTTGTGGGATCTATTGATGCATTGACTTCTTCAAAGGCTTTTTGCCATGGGGATGTTCAATACTTCTGAAGACTCCCGAGGACAACTCACTCACATCGGACATGGCTTTCTGCAAAAACACACGTGACAACAGCTGCTCATGTCAGTGTGCTTGGTATGTCAGTACTGCGTCCATCACGTCAAAAACTGGTCGTCTCGGAGAGTCTCGCATACCCAGACACTCCATGTATGCCATATATGCCTACATTGGGGTGGTTTTGGGGGTCAATGTAGGCATATATGGCATACATGGAGTGTCTGGGATATGTTCTTCTATCATTCCTTGTTGACCGGAAAGGCAACAGATCAACCACTGCTCACCCCGGTGGATTTCGGCACTGTTCTTGCTTGCTCAGTGTGTCTGGACAGACCTATGACCAGGACCTCTCCCAGGGTCTGCCCAAAAGGTGTTTCAGAAAATCTGCTTGGGCCATTGTTTCGACAGCCGAGAAGCCCTGCCAGGTCTTGAACAGGACAAACAATCCAATGCCCATTTTGCACTTGCCTAGGTTATTGAACCGTTCTTTTTGGATGGTATACTCAATACCCATTCAATCCAGTCTCCAGTCATGGAAGCATGGCTTTTTTTCCAAGGACGTCCAAGGACCGCACCAGCAACCAGAAGGAAGCTTCTTTTCGTCAAACACCTTCAAAAATACCCAGCCGACCCTAGCTGAACACTCCGACCGGTCACGGGAGATTGGTCGCGGGTTCTCATCCATTGTCGGCACATGGCCACCAGAGGTCGCCTCCATGAACCCAACCAGGTCCGGCCCTGGCCTCGTGTGGTCGGTCGCTTGACCCGCCACGACGGTTCCCGGGAGCGCGCGTGTGCTTGGTCTCCCCGAACTCGAGGACGGGCAGAAGCAGGAGCTCCGGGTCTGGAACGTCTTGCGGAAGAGGATCGATCGCCTCGAGCCCTGGTTTGGGGGTTAGGGAAGACGAGGTGTGGGCCAAAAACCGCGTGCGTTTTCCACGCACGCGAGGTCGACAAACGCACGTGTGGAGGTCTGAGCACAACAAGAACTGTGGAGGTCTGAGAGATTTGTGTTCGAGGTGTCTGGCTGTTAGCTTACAGCGGAAACGGGCACATCTGAGGTGCTTGGAGGGGGAAGAATGCACCAAAAAAAACCACCTGGACCTTCAAGGGGTGTCCAATGGAGGTCCCTTAGTGGTGTAGGGGCTTCCATTGGTGGCCCCTTGGAAGGTGCTGGCAGACACATTTGCATGCAGATCAGCCACTCGAGAAGTGGCCAATCCATTCAGATCCCAAGTCAATCTGATCAAATCAATTGGGTCCGATCCATTTAGAGTGATTCATTCCAATGAGCTATCCCCCCAAAATGGTCAGAAACGGACTTCATGAAATACTATGGTGTTGGTCCTTGTTGGTCATTAAAAAAGCACTCTTCAATGCGGTTTTTGGGACCAGGGGCCAACCGGGGGCGGCCTGGACCTGTCGGGGGAATTCCAAGGAGAAGGACTTCGAAGCGCAGCAGGCACCAGCGACGCCAGCGGCTGCGGAGCCGTGCGTGGAAGAGGCGAGGAAGCTCAGATCGTCAACGAAAGGTCGTCACTGAGGCGTCCCCTTTGCATAGGCCGTATCCGACGGGAGTTGGGACGGTTTTGGATGGATCAAGAGGTAGTTTGAAGCAGGATTCTATAGGTGGAATGGAGTGGTTGGAGCCGGCCGCTTGACCTATAGAGGTGCCGTTTGACAAACCGATCGAGGTGCGAGCGGAGACTGTCCAAGGGTCAGATGTGGTTCCCGAGCGAGTTCGCTTTCCATCACGGCTGTGAGTCGGTTTTGACCCCGACCCTTGGGGTTGACCTGGTTCTCATTTCCCTTCAAAGATGGGAGATCAACGTCCCGGAGGAGGTTTGGTGGGAGGAGGTTTTGGACTCAGACGTTGACGAGAATCGAATGGTCAAGGCTCCGGGTGCAGGGGCGGAGCTTTCGGTCTGTGGGAGTTGGCTTGACTGAGTCGCCAGGTGTTTTCTTCTTTTCGTTGACCACTCTCTGACGGAGCTCGGGTACTCTCTTCTTCTCACCAAACGCAGAAGAAACCTCAGGATGCCGGTGGGAAGAAGCTCATCAACGGTCGCATCCCACCGGTCACCGCCGCGCTCCGGCTCGGTCGACCGGAACAGGGGACGGTCGACCGGCGGCTCGCGGCGGTGAAGAGGTCTCCTTAAGACTTTCCAACGAAGAGGTCCCCATGGAACGAACCCATTCCCCCGTCTCTTTGGCCCGCTTTAGCAGTTTTGGGGCGCCGGTGTCGGGCAAAGACACATGCGCGAACGCTGCAGCGCAGGTGTTGGAGCTTGGCATGGGAGGTGTTTTGGAGGTGGATCATGTCTCAAAGGAGAAGATAGAGACTTGGAGGATGATCTTTAGATCTTTATAGATTATATATTTATATCACAAAGGTGTTTCGGATGAGTAGTGCTTTAGATCTATATACCAGCACCTCCAACAGGTCACCAATTGAAACCTGCAACAGGGCCTAACACCCAACCCTCCATGAAACGGAGACCTGTTGGGTTCGGTGCTGGTACATATCTAGATATCTTTATAGATCATCATGCCGTTCTAGATTTGATCTAGATAGATAAAGATCATGCTGTTTTAGACGATCTTTAAGTGTTTTGATGAGTCGTCATAGATCAATCTACATCCTTTGGGTTGGTCCGGGTCAGTTGCAGCTCTGCATCGATCAGTCTTTGGATTGTGTGTGTTAAGTCAATAAGTCGGTCAGATCACGTGACTCTTGGCCTTTGACTCTTGACATCAGCTCAATCCTCGAGTGTTGTTGGACAAGCTTTATGTTGGCCATCGCTCTTATGTTGAAGTTGGAGCGGGGTCTCTTGGTCATTCTTGCTTCACGACAGACCACGGCAGACGTAAGTCAACAGCGTCCGCCTAGAATCACCGTGCCGCACGTTCGGGATGACGCGAAGACGCGTGCGGCATGTAACGTCACCTAAAGGTGCTTCAACAGGTATGCGCTGTCTAGTTGATTGAAGCTGAATCAAAAGCAATGGTCGGCATGAAGTTTGGCAGCATCCATTGGATTAGAGTATCTACATCAACTGGACTTCAGTATTGGGCTGGAGTCCATGTTAAGAAACGGGGTGGGACGCACAGTAGGACAGACATGTTTGCAATGTTCCATGTAAGGTGAGTGTGTGTAGATGTGTCCCCACTGGTCGAGGAACCTTGCTTATCCCATTCGTGTTTTCATTGTGTCAGGTGTCGATGCGTCCTGGGTCCTGGGTGCTTATAGACCTCAAACTGACCTTGTGTCTACCATCCAATTACCATCTAAGCTGGACGGTGCTGGTGTATGGTATATTGATGTTCGCCGTTGGGTTGAGCTCTACTTCAGACCAATGCCTTGCGAGGAACGTCTGGAGAAAGCCTTCGACCAGCAACAGCAGTTCCTTATGCATGTGATGTCGGAGCTCGAGAAGATGCAGAAAAGCTTGGCTTTCGTGCTCGGGCGAACGGATTTGGAGAGGGAGTTCTTTTTTCCCTTCGGCTCTGTTTTCAAGACCCACAAGTAGAACCACCCTGCCCACAGTCCAAAGGGTGGAAAAGGACCACCTGCTGGTCCGACGCCCCGGTGCTGGACCAGCACCCCTCCAAGCACCCGTCGACGGGTGTTGCGATCCTTTTTTCATCGGTCCTAAGAATCCGAGCTCGGGCTCTCCATGGGTCCGGGGTCCGGACCCGACACCGAAACGCAGGGGTCCGGACCCGAACCAAACCCTATGTGCGTTGAGGGCCCGGATTCTTAGGGTGGTCCGGACCCCCCTGCGGAATCGGTCGGAATTTCTGGTGGAGCGACCCCACCCGATCCCCACGACCCACCCGATTCCGTCAAAGGCGGCCCATCGGGGACCGACCTCTCCTTCCCCATCCTTCCCAGTCCGCCTCTGGTCGTCCCTCGTCGCCCATTCGCGGGCCCCATGGAGCCCATGGAGCCCATGACCATGCGGCGCATGGTGGGCACGGCACGCATGGTGGGCACCCCCAATAAGACGCCGTAAGACGCCATAGGGTCGGTCGAAGGGTCGAAAAAGGATTCCGCTTCGACGGCTTGGATCAGTGTGCCTTCGGGTCCATTTCTCTTCGTGATTCTGATAGTATACCCTTGGAGGATCTCGTTCGACACCCTTCCATCTGGAACACCCGACCCAGGTCCAATCACACCAGACTTGCACCTGGTTTTGAACACCTCTTAAATAGTGGAGTTGTTTTGTGTTGGATGGAGCAACTAACCAACCTACTTCATGCGCTCCAACTGCCTGCGAGGCTGGCCGCCTTCCTGGAACAGGGATGTGTCCACAGTCCCAAGCACTTGCTATGTAAAAAATGTATTGTCTGGTCCCTCTGACTATGTTGGCTCCCCTTCCTCGGCTCCTCCACGGCTCGGCTCGGTCGACGACGAACGACCCAGGTGAGAAGGGAGTTGGGCCCGCGACGAGCTTGGAGTTCGCCGAGGGACGAAGGAAGGCGAGATGCATAGAAGGAGGTCAAGGAAGAAGTGACTTGAAGATCGAATTCGCGGGAAGACGGGCAGAGCTTCGTTTGGCGTGAAGTTTTGAGCTCTTGTTTCTTTTTTGCACTTGGGGTGATGCATCTGAACGATACATGACTAGTAGTATCCTCCATTCTGAATGGAAAAACATCTTCCCAGAAAAACCACCCGATCAGAACATGTTTTTTTCTACCCGAGCGGTCATGGCCTCATGAGATGTCATATAAGTCCATCAGCACTGATGTCATGAACTGAAAAACGGCAGTGGTGGATCTGCTTTCAGAGACGAAACTGCAGACAATAGTTTTTAACCTCTTTTGACGTGGCACTCTGAGTCTCAATTTTTTCGCAGAATGCCGTGTTTTTGTCGTCTGAAAACCCCCCACCGGGGGTCTCACCGTCACGGTACAGCTCCCGAAGCTCCCGTTGGACACAGGCGGTTGAACCGGGTGCATCCCACGGACCCGGTCCAAGTCCGGCAAAGCAACGAAAGACGCTTCGGAACACGGCGACGTTCGGTACTTGGTCACCGTTTTTTCATCCGTGGGGTCACACAGCTGATGGTTCGGGATGAGAGGGGGGCTGTTGAATCCATGGTTTTGGGCCACGACTTCTATACATGGTGTGTGTTGCAGTCGAGCGGCTCAACCCCTGTTTGAGTCGAAGAGGAAGACTCCCAAGACTCCTCAACCATTGAGCTGGTCTAACAGATGTGATCCACCCAAGCACAACACAGGGTTGGGTCATCCACCAGGGCGGTGCGATCGGGTCGTCTTTCTGTTGATTCCTCTCAGTGCGGCTTCAAGGAGGTTCGCCCTTGGCAAAACATGATCAGTGACCTCTAAAAGGGTCGACTGGTGCAGTGACTGAATGTAGACTGTTGATGAATCAAAACCCTGCAATTTGGATTGTAAAACCTCTGAATTTTCGGGAGGGCTTTATTGATCATCCGTCATCAACAGTCGACATTTGGCAAATCTGATTCTTCCAGGTGGAGAACCATAAAACCCTCCCGGAACGCTTTTTCTTCCACTGAATGTGGAAAGAAAAGGTGTTTACTTCACAGTGATCCATCCCATACGTGGGGCTCGGCTCGCTGTGTGAGGAAGTCGGGTCAGGTTCCGAGCCTTTGAGTTTACTAATCAAAAGTAATCCTTTTTTTCCATCTGATAGTCGTCCCAGTGCATCCCAGGCAAACCATTAGTCTAAGGAACCAGGGGCCCTTCGTTACCGGTCTATGGTTTTAGTCGAACTGGAACCAATGGTTACCAGCGACATCGTGGTAACTGGATGCGCTGGGAGTTCTGGTAGTAGTTCTGATGCCCTTGAATCTCCCAAAGAATCCAAGTCTAGACACCATGTTTGTTGATCTGATAAGTAGCTCTGACAATATTTAGTTCTGATACCCTTGGATCCTAAAGAACCCTAAGAAATGACCAGGTGTGATAGAATGGTCCATGGTCCATTTGTCACGGTCCATGTTCAACATGCAGGGGGGGTTCTTTGGATCGAAGATGCCACCCGGTGCCGGCTTCGCGCCTGAAAGCAATTCCTGGTTCAGCAGATCAGGTAACGTTTTACCGAACTGGGTGTAATAAATCCCCCGGTCCCTGGGGAATATGAAGTTTTCCATGATTCCTACCAGCAAATCCAAGTAATGGGATGTAATGGGTTGGTGTGTTAACCTTGATATATTCCTTTTTCGTGGGCCTAACGACGCGGAAAAGCATGAGTCGACACATGGCGCCCAATGGAAAGCACACCATGGAACATGGCATGGAACATCGGGCTCAGTTAGTTTTGATGTTTTATGTCAAGAGGATTCTTCTATTTGGACCAGATTCCGGGACCACAGTCCCTCGGCTTCAAGGGACGTCCTTAGGTACTGAAGTCCGCCTTGATGCAGTCGAGTGCTGCAGATAGATCATGGCCAGAGACCGGACACACTTTGACTTTTTTGGGTTCGACATGTCTACGTCGCCAAAAGCAAGAGCCTCTGAAGAGGAACCGCCCCCCACAATGCGACCGGACAGCTCGCCGCAGCCTCCCGGTTTTCGCAGCAGCTGCTCAGGTGAGGTCGGCTGTAGATCTGCACCAGTGGTGCACGGCTACATCAGCTCTGACGCCGAGCAGAGCCCGAGCGCAGTGAGTCCCCGACGGGCGGGCGGCTCCGCTGAACGGAACACGTGAGTGGAGCATTTTCATGGACAATTGAAAGTGAAAACCATAGGACAATGGTAAACAATGGTAAACAAGATCCACTCACACTTTCATACCATTGTTATACCGTTATACCATTGTTATACCATAGAAGACCACCAGGATTTCACCCTTATCCTACCCAATAAAACAAGCCCAGCCCAGACGCGATGCTCCATGGGACTGCCAGTTCCGGATCTGCCGCCAGAGAGAGACCCCAAAACGGCACGACCCCCATGTATGGAGCATATGCTAGTCCGGTGAGTCGCGTCTGGGAAGTGGATCCCCTGCTCCCACCCGAAACGGTTGGGGGACCCAACTCCGGTGGACACGGTTCGCTCGGAGCACTTCCGGCTCCGGAGCTCGGTTGGAACACGGGCTCAGCGTGATGTGTCGGGACCATGGACCATGGATAGACCTGGTTTGGCAGGTTTTCAGGTGATTTCGTTAATTTTTCCCTTACCCAAAAGTCGGACCCGTTCTTCCGCACTGGTCAGGGGTCTGGGGTCTCAATCCCTATGGTTTTGGTTCGGGACCAGGAGTCGGGCTGTGAACGAAAACGGAGCGTCTGGTGGGTATAGCTTAGATGGGTAAATTTCCCATACCTGGAGAATCTCTTTTACCCAGACGCGACCTTGGACCCTCCTAAGTAGGGGTCCGGACCCGAACCAATCCCTAGGGTTTTGAGGGACCAAGAGCTGTTTGGAGCTTCTGGGTAGTATGTTTTCCAGGTTCGGAGCCGCCAAATCCGGAGCTTCGAGTGCGAGGGCGGAGCATGGATGAACGAAGGTGGCATGGATCAACGGATATCTGCGGGTCAAACAACGACAGCTGAGGCGGTGTTCAGCTAGGGCTAGGTGGACCACGGACAGCATACAAAGGGGGAGGACGAGCTAATTGGGGGTGGACGCTTATATAAATGTACCAACCATGGATGAATTCACTGGACCTTCATGAGCCGATCACTCCCAAGCCCTCTTGAGGGCCAAGTATCTGAGTGAAAACTTCACAAGCTTTAGTGGAGAGTGTACATCCAAGCTTGCTCGAGTTGGACATCCAGGCCCTACCAATCATCCAATCGGATGGCTCGAGATCAGATCAGCATGTTGCGGAGCCGTCGCCGCTCGTTCACCGGTCGCCGTCGTTTTTGGTTTTGTCCTGCACCAAAAAACGGTGTGGGAGACTCAACTGGGTGCGTCTGACTTGAGAGGTGAGGCAGTGCCTCACCTGGCGGTGTCCCGGTAAACCAGTGACAGTCGGTAAACAATGATCACTTTGTTTGGAGAAAGGCCTGCAACCAGGCGCCAACCAGACCCCATCATGCACTGGGCCCAGGGAATAGGAGAGACCCAAGGTCGAAGTACCAAGGTGTTGGTGATGTTTGGTCCAAAAAGACTCGTCTTTCAGTGGGCGTAGCGCCATCCATGCCATCCATGAGTTTCTGTTCGACCCGACCCCTGACCCCAGTGGCCCCCGTGGTTTAGGGGTCCAACATGTCCAAGGCGCACCCAGGTCTTGTACAGAACTGCAAGAGTTTCCTCTTTGCAGAGGGCCAGCTGCATCCCCATCTTCTTGGATATATCCACTTCTTGGGCTTGTTAGGCTGCGAATCTGAGAAGAGTGCGGGGATTATTACTTTTTTTTTCTCCACCCTACAAAAGATTCCTGATCGGAACCCATTCCCTATCATTTCCTGGTCCTGAAAATGGATAGCGTCCCCATTCAGTCTATCCAGGCTATGGCATTTCCTGGTTCTTTATTTTTCCCCTATAGCGTCCTGGAGAGACTCATCAACTATTCCAATCACCTGGATGTGCTATTTCGTGTAGCCCGCAGAAGTACCTGGACCCACATGGGGGTCCACTTCCCTGGATGTGCTTCTTCTGGTGTTTTGGGGTTTCTTTACAGTACTTATCAACTGCATGCTCCATATGAATTGAAGGCACTTTGGGGACCATCATGAACCACATATACTTAGTCACTACAGTGCAGCCATGTTCTTCGACTAGAACGCCCGTTTCGTTTCGGGCCCTCTGCAAGCTGATTTGCTAGCTGAGTCTGGCGGCAACCGCGGCAGCACTGCACAAGAACATCACGATTTTAAAAATGGGATGCATGTCGGCGGAGCAACCAGGCCCCATCATCCAGTGGGCCCAGGTCGATTTATCATTCACGCACGGCCCAAAGGAAGGGGACTGACCTGTAACAGTCGATCAAGCTCACGATGGGGCCCAGAGAGGTTTACAAAGACTTATCAATGCCTATACCATATATCTATAGAGGTTTATAGAGGTTAACACATTACTATACCTATACCATATACCCAATCTATCCCAATATCAATCGCTTCGACCGTGTGTTTGGGACAGCTCACAGCTCCGACGTTCGGTTCCGCGCTTCGTCCCTCCGGTCCATGGATGGCCCCCCCTTGGTGCGACCCATGGATGGTGTGGGTCAAGTGTTTCCTGGAACCCCAGTCTCAACCAGAAACAAATGGTTGTTCCAATATGGCTTGCTTGAAGTCCTTTACACAGGAAATGGTTGGGACTGGCGAAACATCCATTTCTTTCTGGTTGTTTTGGGATACTTCATATGATGTCCCAAAAAAAATGCTTCATTGCCACATTGAGCTCATGAGCTCTTCGATTCTTTAGCCAGGACCTCATTGAGCTCATGAGCAGGACTTGGGGCAGCGGATCCGCTTCCACTCATTCGCTTCTCCAAGACCCGACTCCGCCAGCCCTTTGGTGGACCACGACCGAGCTCGATCCGTCCTGCGTCCTGCGTCCCGTCCACCGCTGCCATGGACTTGGAGCAGTTGGAGACGTTGGAGGCAGAGACCACGGCGCCGCACACGGAGGCGGAACCCTCCGGAGAAACGAGGGGCGGCACCGGAGAAACGATGCGCTGCGCTGGGGAACGGGTTCGGTTTGGGGGGGGCGGGGGCGGAGAGGAACAGGTTTGACGGGCGGAAGCTCGATGATGTGGGTGCGGTTCGATCGTGTGGCAAAGCTACGGTGGATCGTTGAAGCGTTGTCTTGTGGAGCCCTATAATTCTTTTTTTTCATGTCCAGTTTGCACTTGCCTAGGTTAAGGGATCATCAGTGTTTTTGAGAGGTTGGCACTCATTCTCCAGGACTTGCAAGCTGTGTGGGACCGTAGGATGGATGGACCAGGACATGGATTATCCACCTCCTTTCCAAGAGGGTAGGGTGGAGAGAAACTGGAAGATCGAAGCAACATCCACCCGGTCCCAATCTAGATCAGTACCGCAACCGACCACTGGGCCGAAGTGGATGGGCCGCAACCACTGGGCCTTACCGTTGGACCGTTGGACCGACCGCTGGACCCGAGCGAGCGATGTTTTCTGCGATCGCGGGCGGGAACGAAGTCGGTGCTCATCGGACGGGATTGGTCGAAACATCCCAGCTCATCGGCTGGGTGTGCCACCCTCCAGAAAACCTGATAGGGTCTCCAGCAGCTTCCCCAAATCAAGAGTCTGAGTGTTGACAAGGCTTCCCATCCTGATAGGGCGACGTCCAGCAGAATCCTCCAGAAGCTTCCCCAAACTATCCCTAAGATCTGAGTGTCGTCGGACGTCCCGGTCGCAGCGGCTTCCGGGAAGTCCACGTGGCGTTTGTTCCAGCAGCGCGTCCCAGTCCCGACTGCCGCCGTCGCCGCCGACCGGCGCGGCCGACCGGGAGTCGCGGGAGTCGATTGGTGGGTCTTGCCATGCGTTTGGCCCAAATCATGGCTTTGCTAGGTCTTATGAAAGACCTGGTACTTGTGGTGTCTTTGGAGGGTTGCAATGTCACACAGGCAACGTCTTCTATCACCAGTGCCTCCAAAACTAAATATGGAAATATATTCTGAAATAATCTGGAATCATAGCACCTCCCTGGCAACGAGCTATTTGTACACCCTGGCAGGTTGATTGAATTGGAGTTAGACTCCAAGAAGACACACACACACAACCCAATAGGAGTCTTTACAACTGTGGATTCCCTGTGCCTTTCCGATGATCTTCTTTTTCCAAGACATGGGATACGGGGCTTTCACGCTCTTTCACCCTTCTCTGGGCATTCTGGGCCAGGATGGTGCTCTTGCCTGGCCTGAGAGCTTGACGATGAGTGAAGAGGTGCCTATCCAGTCGACATGTGTTTTCAGTAGGGAGACCGACACCTAGGCGCTCGACCACCTGGCTTCAGTTCGGGACATCGATCCGTCTACTCAGCGGCCAGGGAGTCTCAAAGGGGGTCTCCCTGGCCATGGGGTCTCCCAATTCTTGTTTTTCTCACGAACCAAGAAAGTCAAAGCAAAACATAGGGTTTGAATGAGGGGAGGGGGAGGGAAGACGATGGGGACCCCTGGTATCTATTTTTCATTTTTTTCTGATGCAAGCATGGAGGACACTCTTTTTGGATCAGTCCTATTTGGCTGGGAATCATAGATTTTGTTGCACAGTACAACCTTCCACATATACCCAGTGCTTTGCCGCATACCTATACACTGTCCTCGGTCGAGTGTTCAGTGAGGTCCACTACTCACAGCAGTGGTGCGTGGAACTTGCGACATTCATGGTGGGCAAGAACCCGGCCCTTTACATTGCCAAGACGGAGGGCGGCAGGGGCAGATCTATCCGGTTCATTGAAGACGGTCAGCCCGGCGAGCTCGCCACCACGCCAACGAAGACCGATTTTCCATTGATCATTGTGCCAGCGAAGGCCAGGGGACCAAATTTGCAGCATTATGGAAAGTTCTTTCGAGGAAGGAAGTTTATATAGCATGATTGGAATGGACATTGAAGAAGATTGGGTGAAATCAGATGCACATATTGAATTTTTTGGGACATTTTGGAGGATGAACACATTTACAGGATAAGCAGCACCGTGCACTTTACCAGCATCATCGTCATCAACTTATGTCCATAGAATTTATCAGTGCCTGACAGAAAGGGAATGTTGTAAGCTCTCTTGCTTTGCTGCACTCGTAATCACTGATTTTCCTTCCTGGTGATGGCTTTTTGGAATGTTGATGTTTTTTTTTCTGGTGATTCCATGGGGCTCTACTAAGCCGATCCCCAAAAAACATGCCCGGGCATCCATGTACTTGCATCTGCCTAAAAGTCGGTGTGTCAATGGATTTGTTGAAACATCCTGGATGGGTGTTCAACCCACCAGCAGAAACCTGATAGGGTCTCCTGCAGAAGCGTTCCCAAACCAAACTTAAGTCTGAGTGTTGACAAGGCTTCCTAGTCACTCCTCGACTTTCATCTGTGATCCGGACCGGGTCTGGCGATCCGGACATCCAGGTGGCATCACCGTCCGTTCATCACTGGGCGCTTCCGTTTCATCTGGCGAAGGGTCACCTTGAGGTCCTCGAACCGCGGTGCGTTCGGCGCCACCGTCGCCGCCGTCGCGCTCCGGTGACCTGTCGCTTTCTCCTCCGGTGCTCTGACAGGATGGTGAAGACGACGAATGGGTGCCAACCTCGCCTCGAGAGGCTGGCACCCAGACCCTTGTTCGCCTCATCCCAAGCCTCAAGAGAGATGGCTGTCTGTATTTGGCCACTGCTTCTTGGACTTTCTGCATGCACTCCTTGATATTGTTCTGATACATTGTGGAGTATGGGCCTTTGAAGGGGGGGGAATGACAGATGATTCGCACATCACGGTGACTTGTCACTGTCGCCCTGTCACTGGTCACCTTTTCTGTACTATATTGATGGCTCCAACTACTCTATCATAGGAGGCTGGATCAAATGCCATGTTATTGTGAAGTGGCGGGTTGTTTGCTTGAGAACAGGATCAATTGCACGTGGTGTCTTTGGAGGGTTGCAATGTCACACAGGCAACGTTTTCTATCACCAGGGCCTCCAAAACTATGGAATGATATTCTGAAATAATCTGGAATCATAGCACCTCCCTGGCAACGAACTATTTGTACACCCTGGCAGGTTGTTTGAATTGGAGTTAGACTCCAAGAAGACACACACACACAACCCGGTTTACACATGTGGATTCTTTGTGCCTTTCCGATGATCTTCTCCTGCCAAGACATGGGATACGGGGCTTCACGCTCTTTCACCCTTCTCTGGGCATTCTGGGCCAGGATGGTGCTCTTGCCTGGCCTGAGAGCTTGACGATGAGTGAAGAGGTGCCTATCCAGTCGACATGTGTTTTCAGTAGGGAGACCGACACCTAGGCGCTCGACCACCTGGCTTCAGTTTGACCCGTCTACCCAGCCAGGGCCCAGGGCCAGGGGCTCGGGAGAAGCTCCCTATTGAATGACACCTCTGTAGGGATCTGACCCCAAATCCTCGGGTTTTTGGGTCGAAGGAGCTGAACTAACTGATTAGCCATCCCTTGGATGCTGAGGGGCGCAGGGAGCAGTCGGGCTGTGGAGAGGAGTCGGTTTTTGTTGGCTGTTCTCAACCCCTTTCATCTCTCTATCAGTGTTCGGTATGTATTCATTTCACTGAATCACTTTGGATGGACGCTGGAACATCTGCGATGAACACATTCTTGCCAATACTGGGGAGATTCGTGATCCTATGTGAGTTTGTTTCCCTATCAAAGATGAGTAGGTGCAAAACAAGTCCTCAGTCATCTTTCACTTTTCCACTTTTCAAAGACCTCTGCAGTCCGTCCTAAGTTCAACCTCTGACTTGTGCCACTGAGAATCAGATATACTTTCCAGAAGAAGTCAAGGGGGTCGGAGGGTGCACCAGAAACCCTCCCAGGGGGGCTAAATAGGTGATATGCCATTTGTGGGGTGAAGGTCCAGGTGGTTTTCACACCACGTTATACTGTAGGGCACGTGCTATCATGAGTCTCAGCCATCAAAGACTCATGCAAAGGCATCACGGACACGGTATTTGTTGCCGTCCATTGATGTTTTAATTTTGGATATTGCAGTTCATAAAGATGATAAGAATTGGATAGAATTCGCTATCAGATGACGCGGGGTTCCACCTGAGAGTTGAAGAACCATTTGGTTAAGCCGTTTCATGACATGCTTTTGGGGTTCCAGGTATGCCCAACATAAAAGTATATAGGTATAATTTTGGGTCAACTCTTCGTTTTCTTTGACCACAAAGGGCTTTTGTTCTGTTCAGAACGCAGGGCCTGACGGAGATCGACTTCAGAGGGGCAGAGACCACGGCGGCACCGCAAACAGCAGCGGAACAGTCGGAGGAGATGCGTATTTTTTTGTTGGTTGGGGTTTATTAGAGGTGTTTGTTTAGGGGGTGTTTGGCTGGGGGCTGGGCGGAGGAAAGGAAGACGTGGTCGAAGAGTTTTTGCAAGACGGTTTCCTCGTGTTTTTTTTGTGTCTCTCTCTTACATTCTATTCTCGCCCTTTATAAAGCTAAACATGCTAAACCTGGTACTGTATAGTTCTTCAGTAGAACAACCTTGTGACTGGCACTCAACCCTTCACGCCCCTTGCGCTTTCGCGCTCTTTCACCATTCTCTGGGCGATACCCAAGCGGAGCCCCAGGATGGTGCTCTTGCTTTGCCTGAGAGCTTCACAGCGACGAGTGGAGAGGTGCCTATCCGTAGGGAGACCTCCCAGTTCGACTGCCTAGGAGGGTCGGGATATCAGGTCAGCCACGCCGCATCCCCCGCGCCCGCCACATGGCATGTCCTATACCCAACGACACCCAAACTGCCATAAATAGCGGCGAGCCAGATATATACTCCTGCTACACTGTGTGGATGCCCGCCCTACCAGAAAAACAGATCAACAGTGGAAACATCTAAACACGTGAGAAAGCCCAGAGTAGAGCACAAACACGCTTTGAGGTCGGGAATGTTTCGAGAGCAACCTGTCCATGAATGCTAAAAGCGCGGGCTGCGCTTTTCTGGAACTAACATGCAGGTGGATGGTATGCCCCTTCAAAGACCATGTTTCGAATACCAAGCAGTTCATGTAAGTTCCCGGGATCCGAGCCTCTTCCAACCACGTGGTTGACAAGGTCCGAGCCAGTGAACTGGCCAATTAAATCCCAGCCCAGATCATCAGCTTTGGGCCATGCAGCCATACCCTGTCAATCAACGATCATCGAGCTGTGCTCAAAACCTTCCCGTGTTCTCATTTGGAGCGCGCCTTGACGCACAAGACCCGTGCCGTGCCGTGCAAACGACCCGTGGGTTGCGTCGCTTCCCAAGAAACCGTGCTCCAAACGCCACAGCGTCTATATCACTTACTGTAAGAGCGCCGCTCGGGAGTCCGCTCAGCTTCATTCATGATTCCATCCCTTGCTGCGGTTCTTGGTCACGACGACGCCCGTCCGAAGCACGGCTCCCGACGGTCGTCGATGAACACCAGCGAACGACGCATGAGACGCATGACGCATTCCAGCGAACGGCCAGTCACGGGAACGACGTGGAGCCTAAGACGTCTCAGACCTCACCAGAGCATGACGACTGGACAAATTCAGAAGGGACCAGGTGCATCCAGGTGCATCCAGGACCAGGTCCAACACGGGACCCTGTCAGGTGAATGTGCCGAGCTTCGACGGCATCAACGAAGAGGTCCCGACGTGGGTCAGCGCGTTCCGTGCCCGTGCCGTTCGTCGCCTTTGACGCGTTTGGGGGCCGACCCGAAGAAGCCGAATCCGGGGCCACCGAAAGGCAGGGGGAAAACGGGGCCGTTTGTTCCCAAAACCCGGATTGTGTTGGGTGAAGGACCCTAAGGAGCCCGGTTAGCGGGTATGAACAAGAGGAGTGTTGGTTTTGATGTGATGCTTTTGAGGTGCCGGGTGGTGCTTTGATGTAAACTTTCGTGGGTTCCTCTGGAAGAGCTTCTTTTAGAGACTCTGATGCGAGCGAAGCACCTGGTGACACGGCCGGCACACCGGCCGTGAGAACGAACCTTGTTCCGAGTAAGCAAGACTGCTCCGTTCGAGTCGCGATGCCAGGAGCCCCGAATTAGTAGCGAACATGGTTCCTTAGTTGAAGAACTACTTTGAACCTCATTTTTTGGAACCACCTACAAAAACCTACCTCCAATAGAGGTTTTCCTCTTGTAGGTTCTACTACTTTGATTGGCTTCCCCAGTACTACCAAGAACCGGTAGAAGAACCCAGGGAGACCCAGTGCGATGGAGGTGATCGTTCCAAAACGACGACTCCTTCACAGGAGACGCCGGACTGCCTCGACGAAGCCTTGGAGCAGAACGACCTGAAACGCTTGCAGCTGGGCTGCGCGATGGCGGTGTGTGCGATGTGTGCGAACGGCGTCGTTCGGGATGCGGTGCGGTGGACCCTCTCTCAGAGTGGAGACCCGAAGAATGGAGACGGTCGGCTTTCTGGTGTCCCAGACGTTCCGTGAAAGCAGCCCTTTCCTGGTCCCGAACCAAAACCATAGGGATTGGTGAGAAGGTCCAGACCCCTGACCAGTTCGGATTCGGGTCCGACCCCTCCAGAGGATTCGGGTCCTGGGTCGCGTCACAATGAAATGGAGACCCTCTTAGAATCGGTGGCCAAGCCAAGCCCATCGATGTTAAAAGGGTTCGATGCTTTTTCATGTTCGAATGGATACCTTTGGAGGGCTCTCTCAGAGGTCAAGAGACAAAAACATGCAAAGACCCCACAGGTTTGAGCTTCAGTGGCATCCATCCCGGGAGTTCCCAACAGGTTTGAATCTTGCCCAGCCACTTTTGGAGCCGGCTACACTAAGGAAGTGCCTGGCCTGGCCCCCTTTTTGTTCGGATGACCATGAACTCTGATACCAAACAGGGGATTGTCCACTTACATCGTTTGAAGTCTACCAAGAGGACCCCACCGCTCTAACTCTGAGGGTCAAGAGTCAAAACAGATTCAGGATCTTTTTTTGCAGGTTACCAGCAGCATTGCAGACGTTTCTGAGGTGTTCAAACCAGACTTTTGCGGTGCTTGGTCTTTCCTCCAGTGACCTGTATGTCACTGTGTGTTCTGAGGACACTTTGTCCTCAAGAGACAGTTTGACCAACGACACTCCCCCAAACCAACATCCTATCCTTTCAGCAGATCAAAATCACCACTAAGCGCCAGCGGCACAGAGCTCTTTTTCAGGGGCCCCTCTGAGGACATGCTGAGGACTTGCTTAGCTTCGAACCATCGCTTGGTTGCCTGACGTGTAGAGGATGTGAGAGGGGTCATCTGAACAACCATCCGAAACCATCCGTAAGATCTACATCCACCCAGTGAAGCTTGTCCATCCATTCCATGTCTTGCCAGGTGTTTCAACCCTGCCCTTCGAGTGTATATTTTTGCAACACACATGCTGTGGTTTACACCATCATTCCGTGTTGAAAAGGACACCTCAGATGTAAACAGCCCCCCAAACAATAAGGCGTGTCCCTTCCTTTGTGTTGCGATGCCGACTCGCCCGCCTTACGAGGCTCCAGGGAGTCAAGGATCTGTGTGGTGAGATCGTCAAAATGGGCGACGAGACGCTTGGAACCATCGTGGAACGGGAACGGATCATGAGAGAGTGGTTGTGAGAGAAGTCGTGAGTGGTTGTGAGAGTGGTTACACAACGTGGTTCACTCACCGGCCGCATATAAAGCAACCGGCCGCAGAAGTGCTCAGTAGGTGTTCAACCAACCAACCAACCAACCAACCAGCCAGCCAGCCAGCCAGCCAGCCAGCCAATGCTTACCACTCCGCCTGCACCGAGGATCCAGTTGTATAGCGACCGCAGCGACATGGTCAATCTCGCCAAGTGCGACAGCACTGATACAGCAGAGGATTGCGGCGGGGGTGGGGGGACGGTGCTGAGGTTGGAGGTACTCGTACCAAAAAACATGCATGAAGAAGGATGGAGGTACAAAACACAGAAGCTAAGCATTGTATGTTTTTCTCGACTGGGGCTCCCAGCTTGCGAGGGACCCAGGTCGGGGGCCGAAGAAAAACATTTAACGACCCAAAACCGAGGCAAGCGCAGGTCGTTTGTAGCTGTGAGATGTATGAACCTTAGGTCCCAGTTTACCTGTAGAGCCGCCAGTTTAAAGAAGCAAATCACTATTTCTGAACAAGGCCTGCAACATAACCATCATAGACCCAATATGAACCTCTATTCCACAAGACGTAACAGCCTGTGTTTTCAATCTGATCTTGATCTTGCTCCTTTCTTAAGGGGAGGGATAAAAACAGCTCCAGCTTGTAAGTACTGGATGAAAGAGAAACATCGCCTTAGATTCGTTCTTCCCGGACTGGGGGCGCTTGGTGTGTTTCTTTTTCTCTGCCGCAGAAGCTCTTCACCAAGCACCCGGACCCCCTCTTCCAAGCGACCTGGGCGCAAGGAGGGTGAGGTCGACCGCAGGGAGGGGAGTGGACGCGGATGGATGCAATGGAAACGAATGGACCTGAAACAGTTCTGGTTTGAAGCAGAAACAGTTCTGGTTGTTCTGTCTGTTGTGGCTTAGCTTCGCCACCGAGATCCGGAAGTGGCTGGGACGGTTGGGAGTTCCAGCCAGACTTGTTGCTTTTGGGCGACACCCCAGAGGTCGCAATCCGCGTCTGGGAGTCCACACCCAAACACATCCAAGCCTGCAAACCTGGGTGCCAAGAGAGGTAGCGAGTTCCGTGACCGGGACCATAGGACCCGTCACCTGGGCTACCGAACTGGGATAGGGTATAGGGTTCTGACCCACCTCTGTTGGTGTGTAGCTCAAAGGAAACACACCGGAGGTTTCAGTGTTCTGAGCCCCTGGGCCAGAACGGACCATCCACCCGAGCTAGACCGGACCCGTGTGAGATACTATTGGGGCGCCCCAGTATTGGTCATTCAGACCATGGAAGAGACGGTATAGAAAAAGACTCTTAGCCATACCCAGACCATCCATGGGACTGCCATATTCACCGTTATCCTGGCCAAATTTGCTGGTTTTGCGGGGGGTCTGGCCTGATCGGCATCTATTCCAGTCCCATGGATGGTCTGGGAGATTATACCTGGGGACGATGAACGATCTAAACCTCCAAGATCCGATGATTTTGGGCTACAGATCCGATGGTCTTTCACCTCCAAGCGCCCAAGCGCACGCTTCCGTTTCCCTTCGCACCGCTCAGTTCGATCCAGTGGACTGGACTTGTCGATCTGGATCACTTTCAAAGAAGACGTGTTCTCTTTCCATGCCATGTGGCTTCCATGATTTCAGGGAGTGTATGGTTTAGAGTTCTAACTGCGGACCCACAGGTTCGCAGGGTATGTGACGCATTGAGACCCCATGAGATCGAATGATATCAGGTCGTTGATGTCCGGATGTGTAGTCCGGCTCTAGTCCAACAGCCAGGGTACCCTGGCGAACTGTTGCAGAATCCGTTGAACAAGATCATCCTACGAGACGCTCCGTGAGTTCACCGCCCTTTCCTGGTCCCGAACCAAAACCATAGCAGGACCTTCCAACAGGTGGTTTTAGAAGCCTAACAGGTGGCTTAGCAGGAAACACCTGTTGTTTAGCAGGAAACACCTGTTGGGTCCAGGTAGAGATTGGTGAGGCCCACCCCAGACCCCGGGTCCCACTTCGGATTCGACGTTGTCCGACCCCGGACCCGGAGTCGGGGGCCGGAAGAACGGATCTGAGCCAACTCCGAGGCCAGCCAGGAGCTGTTCCTGCCGGGGGGGAGACCGGACATCCGGAATCCACATCATACAAGAAAGCTGCACCACAAAACCATCAAAAACCTGGCTTCCCCTAGCAGAAAACATGGTTTTTGGTAGGTGAAACACCTCTATGTTTCAGGAAAAAACTGAGGGCCGCCGGCCTCCATTGTCAATTGTGGTTGAAAAGGGGGGAAAACCAACCAATGGATCCATTCTGGATTGTCCGGGCCAAGTCGAACACCGCTAGACATGAGTGGAAGCCCCCCTCCAAGCGGACCTTGGAGTACGGAGCCGCCCACGGTGCAGTTCACATCCCCCACAAAGGACCCAGTAAAACCTGGTCCTTGAGCTTCTTGAATAGCGTTTCGTATGACCAACTTCAGTAAAATGAGGTCTTTGACTTGTAGGGTCTCAAAGATGAAAGAACATGGTCAGGTGCAGCTGAACGCTGGTGGCGTGTTAGACCACCCGGTAGACCACTCCGCGTTTGGATCGCCGATTCGGAAATTTTTTCGCGCGTCGTGTCGGATGTAATCGATGACTCTTCGAAGACACTGGAAAGACCAACGTCCACATTCACCTAGATCTTCCAACTGTGCAACATTTATACCTTTTAGTTGATTTAATGGATGAAAAGGCAGAAGTTCTGCACAGTTGGAAGATCCAGGCATAAGACACTCCAGCACCTTCATGTCGGGGTCACCTGGCTGGACACCCCTTTTTCATCAAGGTCCGGAATAAGGTCCGAATCCGGGTCCAGCAGGGGACCCGAATCCATTGGAACCATTTGTTTCTGGGTTGAGACTGGTTTTCCAGGTAAGACACTTTCATCAGACCACTGGAATCACTGGTCGAAGACACTGGAATCAGACACATTCAGCTGACCAGCGGACTCGAAACACCCAGTTTGCTTCCTTCCTTCCCGTGGTGCAAGAGATTCCAGTGCACCGGACTGCGCCATCCATCCATGCGTGGCAGCAAGCTGCGCTTCCCTCCCAGACGAATCCCAGTTCGACCCCTGCAGAGACGATTGGACCGGTTTTTGGGGGAGACCTGAGGTCCTCCCTATACAAAGCCTACCAGTCCAGTTTGACCCAGTTTGCCACCTGGTCTTGAAAACCTCGTGAAGTATGGGTTTTGTATGACCATCCCCAGTAAAGTGAGGTCTTTGACTTGTAGGGCAAGCTAAGTGGATTTTGGGGATCCATGTGAATCGTGACGGAGAGTAATCAATCCTCCTTGAGTGATCTACTAGTACTTAGGATTTTGGATCACGGGAAGCTTGTGTCTCAAGGGATCTCAGCATCTCAAGTGTTTTATTCACAACTACTATGCCACACCGAGTACATGTTGGGCATGAAGTCCGCAGCATTGGTGTTGTTTCGCAGGTTTAGGTCGTCTATACAGTTGAACGAACATGAACTTCCCAGGCTCCAGGTGGTGCTTGAGACCCTGTAAAACCCAGGATCTCGCAGGGTCCAGATTTCACGCAGCCCCAGTTTTTTCCAGTGACTTCTCGCTGGTGTTTCTGCTTGGGTTTCAGACCAAGCACGATCACCGTGTGACGAGTCCTTGCCGGCACGTCGTGACAACAAGGGCCCCCAGAGCCAGGGGTGGTGAATGGATACCCCAAATCACCTCTCTCGACTCCCTCTCTCCATGTGCTTCAGAATGTGGGCTGCTCTTCTCATGCCATTGAAGATGTAAGGAGCTATACATGTCGACACCCCTGGCCCGGAAGGCCCTGGTACTCCATCATCCTTCAACCATCTTTTCAGACCCGACTTCCGCACCGGTCCTGCCACGACCCTACCTGCTCCATGAACCCGCTCTTGGGTGGCCAGGACCTAAAGAAGAATGAATTGGACATCCGTGCCCGCAAGGACCATCAACCTTTTGTGTCTGTCCACGAGAGTTTTACCGAACTTCCAAGGCCCCCTAAGGGGTGGTTTTCGAACTTGGAGGATAGGGGTCCCCATTCTCCACTCATTTGGGGACCAAAAACTACCCCGACATGTGACTGCTGGTAGAGATGTCAGGTTTCACAAGCACATCACTAAATCTCTGGGGTAGGAGCAATGTTCGCTACGAACGGGGCTCCTGGCATCGCGACTCGAACGGAGCGATCGGACGCCGCGACTCGGGGCTCCTGGCCTTAAATACTAGTAACATCTAGTAACAAGAAGCTATTGGGCTATTTGAAACATGGCCTTACTACTAGGAACAAGGACGCTACTGGTACATACTGGTACTAGGGGCTCCTGGCCTTCTGGTAACAAGAAGCTATTAGGCTATTAGAAACATGGCCTTACTACTAGGGTCAAGGACGCTACTGGTACATACTGGTACTAGGGGCTCCTGGCCTTACTAGTAACAAGAAGCTA